GTGTCCACCATTGGTAACTTTGTTATTAGTAAAAATACAAAGTTGTTTAAATTAGCAAACTAGTAGCATTTTTAACGCTGGTAAAAATGAGAAATAAAAAAAAAACAATTGAGAGTCGTTATTTTGATTTTTTTCAGTAAAATAACATTTTTTTAAATGGAAACCCCTGTATATTATATTTTTTTCTGTTAAAGCATCAAATTTTAAACAAAAAAGTTCATAATGACTTTTCCGCTAAAGTCAAAAATAAAGTCAAAATAACGATAAATATTTTTAATTATTTGCAGTATTATAATATTAAGACGGCTATGAAAACAACATGGCGTTCGCGATTTGACAGCATTAAGATAAGCGACAAATTGTTAAACTGGACATACTCGCAACTAGAAGGCTTTGGAAAACAATGATAAAATCAAATAATGTCAAACATTAGTGTAAATACTTGTTTATAAGCTTTATTGTGTCATTAATTTAAAGAAAAATGTTCTCCCATGAAGAAAAGTGTGATATGTTAGAATGCTATTTAGTGTGCAGAAAATCCTTCTTGAGAGCAAGAGAATACTACAGTGAATTATATCCCGCTCGCATTCAACCGTATGAACGATATTTTCTGAGACTTTATCGAAAATTTAGGGGCAACGAAAATGTTTTTGCTAAAACAAGGGCAAAAAAAGAATTCATAATAAGCGAGGCCACGGAAATTGCAGTTATTGGATATTTTGAAGCTTATCGTGAGAATTCAATAGCAGATATTCTCAAGGACTCTAATTTCAGTTATGGTACTGTTCAAAGGATTTTAAAAAAATACAAATTTATTCCGTATAAGTACCGACCAGTTCAAACGCTTTTGGCAGGGGATCCAGAGAGAAGACTTGTTTTTTGCCATTGGTATCTTAGCTTCTGTCGCCAAAATGTAAATAACTTTCGTTACCTTTTATGGACAGATGAATCAAATTTTTCAAATTCTGGAATGTTTAATAGAAAAAACCACCATTATTGGTCAAGAGAAAATCTTTTGTTAGTACATCCAAGAGGCCCACAAGTCCGTTTCAGTTTCAACGTTTGGTGCGGTATAATTGGTTCAAAAATTATTGGCCCGTTCTTTTATGAGGGAACCCTAACTGGTGAAAGATATGTGGAATTTATGTCATAAATTCTGACTAATTTCTTAGACGAATTGGATCTTATAAGTAGACATCATCTGCATTTTCAGCAAGATGGCGCACCTGCCCACAACTCCAGAGGTACTAATGATTTTCTAAGTACTACTTTTAATGATCAGTGGATAGGAACAAAGGGCCCAATACAGTGGCCTCCCAGATCACCAGATCTAAACCCACTTGATTACTTCTTGTGGGGTTACTTAAAGAACCAAATTTACAAGCGAAGGTACGATAACCTTGACGCGTTAAAGACTGCAGTTAGGGAAAAGATAACCCAGATAGATGGTAGGACCATACTTAAGACAGTTCGAGCAGTTGAAAAACGTGCCCAAAAATGTATTGAAGAACAAGGTGTTGTTTTCGAGCATCTTCTTTAAAAAAAATTGTTATTGTATTTTGTAAGATTATAAGTTGATGTTGAAAATAAAGTTTGTCGATACAATTTAATTGTTTCAGATTGGAGGCCATAACTTCAACAATTTGTAACCTAGGAGAAAAGTTATTGTAAGCTTTTTTGTTTAAAATTTGATGCTTTAACAGAAAAAAATATAATATACAGGGGTTTCCATTTAAAAAAATGTTATTTTACTGAAAAAAATCAAAATAACGACTCTCAATTGTTTTTTTTTTATTTCTCATTTTTACCAGCGTTAAAAATGCTACTAGTTTGCTAATTCAAACAACTTTGTATTTTCACTAATAACAAAGTTACTAATGGTGGACACTTAATTTGGATAACCCTGTAGACACATATCCTAGAAAGAGATAGAAGTCGGCTGGATAGCAAATCTAATCATCGCGTTGTCTAGCAACGCTGACGTAGCAATCTGCCGCGTTGTCAATATGTTACACCAGTTCCTTGCATTTTCAATTCCTCGAGTGCATGTTGGAAATATCCGTTAGTTTATTCTCTCCGCCCAAGTAATGGCTTTATTTTGAGAGTACACCATTTTTGAATTCCAGTTTAGGTTGAAATGAAAGGTCAGGTTCGCCACAAATTCTGCAACATTGCATCATTGGTTCTCTGCAACACCGCATTTCGTACATTCCATGGCAAGGTTTCCACCTCCATGATCATAGATGAGCGCTTTTGGTCAGTACCGATCTAAAGTATATTCAGATAAGAGATAGACCGGATGTAAACAAAAGGTTCGGGTGATTTTCACGCTAACGCCGCCGTCTCGACGTAAAACAGGAGCCCTCATTGGTCAATTCGCAAATAAATGCCTATGCCGAGCGGCAGAGCAGTCGTATCAAGGCAGAGTCACATTCAGGTTCAGACGTGTTACGTATGTCGTGTGCATCATTGCAATTTGATATTTCTTTGGACGTTTTCGTTTGTTATCTTATTAAGTTGTTGAGTTTGTCGTTGTTATTGTTATACCTTGTTATTGATTGTTATTGTTATCAACTGCTTGCGCAAAATGCCCAGTAGTACAGATACTGCCGATGAAGTTGTAAACTCCTGTAGTCCACCTAGGAAACGCTCTAAAAAAAGACACCTGAGTGCAGAAATGAAAGAGGTCATTTTCAATATATATATAAGATCGAGCGCGAGGAGAACGAGGCATCAACCATCAAAGAAATTGTTGTGAAGGTTTCTCACAAAGTTGGGGTGTGTCGCGCATCAGTGTTTAATGTGTTAAGACAATACAAAAAAAAAATAACACCTTTTCTGAGCCAATGACCAGTAAACATCGCAAAAGTATTGTTAAATCATTGGATGAAGCTGATAAGCATGCGATTAGGAGGAAAGTGCATGAATTCTTCTTTAGGAATGAAATACCTACTATAGATAAAGTACTACAGGAGGTAAATGGAGATACAACGTTGCCAAATTTCAAACGATCAACTTTCCATGCGTTACTGAAGCATTTAAATTTCAAATGGAAAAAACGGGGTCGTAATAGTTTACTACAGGATAGAGAAGAAATTGTGCTATGGAGGAGGGATTATTTAACAAAAATTAGGAAATATAGAAATCAAAACAGGAAGATTTATTACCTTGATGAAACGTGGGTAAACGCAGGACACACTACAAGTAAAATCCAGCAGGTAAATACGAGTAATAGACAACAATCGGATGTTTTTCAAACCTTGGGAACAAGGTTCTAAACATTAATTCCAGGGGGCAGATAAAACATATTACAAGTAACAAAACTTTTATAACTTTCGATAAAATGCGTGGATGTTTTATTGTCATTTTCATTTGTTAGAACTTTTTTAAGCCATGTTTTTATGTGTTTTCGATATTTCAATAATTTTTTAATATAATCTTAAAATATGTCGAATATTATAAACTTAAAAAAGTTACTAAGTTTTATATTGTGTACCGTTCCTAATATTTCTAATCATTTTAATTCATACTTTAAGCTTTATAAAGTTATAATTTGTTAATATTAATATTTGCGCGTATTTCAGGTTCCTGATCATTCATTTTTTAAAGGTTTATAACTTTAAATTAAATTGTGAAGCGCTGAGTAATCATACGACGTTCAATATTCTTTCTTTCAATATGACTAAATAATCCCAATTATAGCAATCTGATACTCATGTCTCAAGTACAATTATTAAGAATTGTCAAGGATCACAAGGCGGAATATCAAAAATACGCCATTGACGAAATGGCAGCAAGCCAAAATCAAACTGTGCTCCGTTTACCTCCATACCATTGCGAGCTCAATCCCATTGAGCTCATATGGGCAGAGGTTAAAAATTATATAGCTAAGCACAATACAACTTTTAAATTTTGTGACCTCAAAGGACTTTTCAAAGAAGCACTAGAATTAATAACAGCGCAAAAATAGGAAAACTGTATTAAGCACGTGAAAGACAAAGTTGAAAAGAGAATGTGGGAACTGGACAATATTTTAGAGGAACAAGTCGAGCCATTCATTATTGACGTTGGTGCTTCAGGCAGTAGCGATGATGAAAGCTCATCAAGCTCATCTTTCCAATAAAAGATGTCGTTCATCAAATTCGGTAAGTTATAAGTAATTATAAAGCTACTGTTTTTTTTAATTAATTATTGACATTTTTGAACCCATTTTGGCAAAACCTATTCAAGAATCTACTTTCTGACAATGTTCAACCATGCACATTTTTTTACGTTTTGAACGTTTTAATTTGGTTACATATTCACCTAGAAATCAAAAAATATACTAATCAATATTCTAAAAACAATTTTAAGAGATATACGATTATTTTTAATTTAGGCTAATTTAAACGCCATTTTGAGATTATATTCGACTGTATTTCACCAAACATCAGGCAGCATCCGAAGCTGGAAATCGAAGCGAAAATTTTGAAACCCTTATGTATATTTACATCATTATATATTTCTTACCCCACCCCCACATGGTCCTATATCCATCACCAATCGTATACACATCGAATTGTGCTAATATACTACAAAGTTACGCAAAGCAGCATCTACTATCTAAAATATGTACTGCGTGACTCTTAATACGTCCCTGCCGAATGTTACAGCGTTCGATGATCACGTGGTCTTGTTTATGTCCGGTCTATCTCTTATCTGAATATACTGTAGATCGCATTGGACTATGGACTAATTTGACTAACATGATCATTTAACTCCTTTGTTATACATGTTTGTAACTAATTTTTCTCTAAGTAACTTGTGCCGATTATAATTCTTTATATATTGATGATAACGTTGCGTGAAAAGTGCAGAGTCAATCTACTTCACGCCATTTTTTAGAAAGCTTTATTGTCAGAGCTAACTATACCACCATCCCCGACTGTCTTTAATTTTAGAACCCGTAGAGACCAGACTAAATGAATAGATTGCCATTGACCTATTCTAAATCTAGCATCAGCACGTAGAGCCAAAAAAGATCAGCGCCAGTGACAAAACAACTGTTACAGTCAGTGAATTTTCATAGATATCAGTAAGGCGATTTCGCGTCCTTGTCGGTGTCTAGTTATTGTTTATTTAAAAAATTTTCGCAGCGGCATATGCTTTCCTATGCAATCAATCTGTGTTGACACTATTTCACGTGATATGTTTTAATGTGCGTTAGCATAACCCCGATTCAGTTTTCTGTTCATTCCGTATTAAGACCCGTGTCGTGATACGTATTATAAAAGTTATCTCAAAGTTTGAATAATCGCGATCTTAAAATATCTCAAATCGTGCTTTCCGGTTGATCAGCAGCCAAAAGATTCAACGCCTCGATTTTTTTTGCGAGGTGTTGGTATGCGCTTCGTTCGCAACAGGGTGCGGTGCTCTGTGGTAATTTATCGCTAGAAAATCGGGATAGTGACGGGAGCTTCAGTGATATAGTGCGTAGTTTTATAGTGATAGCCATGCCAAAGTTGATGCCTTATCAGGACGAGGCGGAGATCAGATATAGACAAACGAGGTTGATGTCTATTAGAATAGGTAATTTTTATTTAGGGTAGGGCTATTTTTGGGGTAATAAATTGACTGTTCTGTAGTAGTAGTAGTAGATCCTGTACTAGAAAAGCGATATAAATATTTAAATGCGTAGCTTCTGAAGTATCGTAAAAACTGATCAACAGCTGCTGAGAAACTAATGTTCTAGCATCACATTTCCATCGGTTTGACACCAGATTGTGAACTCCTTCAATGTGCATGCATTGTCAAAAGACTAATTTTAAACGGTTTCAGATTTGATTCTGCTAGAACTCATTTTTATGTGAAAATACATTTGAGTTGACAGTTGGAGTGACTCACTTTTTTCTCACTTTTCATTGAAAACATTCACTTTTCTCACAATTTGAAATTGAAGCACTCTATACAGGGTGGCTCATCCATGTGTGGGCGGAATATTACTCATATACAAATACATTTTGGGAAAATCTATTTATGGGATGTTATACATAACATTTGAGGGCACATTCCTAAAATATGGGCCATTATACATGGTGTCCCAATTTCGACCTACATATCAAAGTTATGATTTTTCAAATGGAATGCCTCAAATTTTATTGGGAATGTGGTAATTAGCTACTGAGATATAAGGTGTTTTGTCTAGCAAAACCCCCCACTTCGGCATACCCCTCAGTCCGCCATTTTGAAATTTGGAGTACTGAATGTTGTATAAAAAAAAACTTACACTTTTATCTTATTTGTAACTTTTTCGAATTTTAATTTTTGCTCATACAGGGTGGTCAAAAACGCAAATTGTAGTTCTTTTGTTTTACATAAGCGTTTTTACGGCTATTTTTCGGTTATTAGCACGTCTTTTAAGAACGGCTTAATTCCCTAAAACATCGCATCAACCGTGGAAACAAATAAATTGTTGATTGGTCACAAACTGTCAAAATGAGCTTTGTAAGCATTATAATAAAAACGTGTTTGAAAATTAATTTTTCTAAAGAAGACATACGAGAAAATATTTGTTTTATTGTTGTAGAATATGAAGACCAAATATGTTGTTTAATTGCCCATTATGTTAATTTTTTGATAAATTCATGTTTCAGTTGAAATTTCGTAAATTATATTGCGTTACTCATTTTCAGATGCAGTATTTTTATTTGTTTTTGGACAATAAATAGTTTTCATGTACAAAATCCAAATATAGCGTCGAAGGAAGAAACCTCGAATTGAAAATTTCTCTACGCCATCTTGTAGAGGAGAATAAGTGACAATGACAACATGAAGTTTATTTGAATTCCCATCCCAAATAAGGTCAGGAAAAAAATAACAAAATATGCCTTTATAAACTAAACATAACGAGTTAATAATGCAACAATTGAAAGATTACCATTGGGTAACATCACCTTCATTTTTTATTACGGCTCAAATTCTTTGGGGCATAGTGTTAACCAAGTTTTGGCAAAAATTTGGTGTAAAACAACCCCATATTTCTTTAAGCTTTTGTCTCAATTCGGTGATTGTACGAGCAGGATGTTGTCGTAGAACCTTTTTCATCTCGTGCCGCAAAGTTTCAATAGGTGACAAATCTGGACTGCTAGAAACCCATTTCAAAGTGGTGCATTATTTTCTTCCATCCATTTTATAACCTTTTTTGAGGTATGGCACGCTGCACCATCCTGCTGAAACACAAAATCTTGGCCGGATGTCAAACATTCTTCCATCACTGGTAAAAGCGATTCTTCTAAAATTTCCAAATATTTGTTTGTATCCAAATTTCCATCAATAAAATGAAGATTTCCTACTCCTTTTGATGACATACTGCCCCAGACCATAATGGATGCTGGAAATTTCACTTTGCGAATAACTCTACTGCGACTGTCACCAACACAAACTTCGAATCGGGCCTCATCACTCCATTGTATTGCACACCATTGTTGAGGTGTCCATTGTCTATGTTCTTTAGCCCATCTAAGCCGATTTTTCTTGTGCAGTGGAGTTAATAGTGGCTTTTCTTTGGCCTATAAACAAGTTGTGCAACTTTAGGGTTTTTACTTCACTTTTTTTATAAGAAAACTTATCTTGCAAGTACTAAATCCCAGTTTGTGGGCCTCTCTATGAGTCACTCCACAGAGCACTTAATTGTAAATAATTGGCACGCCTGTTTTTCACTATTATTCTTCTTAATGCTCTTCGGTCGGCATTTGAGATATTACTTTTTTTCACATATCGTGGCTTAATATTAACTGAACCAGTTACGTTATATCTTCTAACAATATTTCTCACACTGTACCGCGATAAGTCTAACAAAGTTGCAATTTCCGAGTTTGATTTCCCAGAATTCAAAAATTTAATTATCAGTAACCGAATTTTCTCACTAATAACCTTTCCTCTACCCATTTTGAAAACCTTAACTACCCAAAACTATTTTAAACGTATTCTGACAGCTGTGATTAATAAAAACAATTGTCATGGCTTTTATTTTTCACAGCCACCTATGCGTTATAGACTTATTTTGCATTGAAATGAAAATAGGTTGATATGCTGTAATTGCGACATGTGTTATTTTTATACTGCAGATATGATTAGGGAGTGATAAAGTTGGTGTTTTCTACTATATATTATCAAAATATTTATTGTTAATATTTTAAACCTGCTACATTTTTATTATTTGTGTTTGATAAGAAAAAAACTAAGATTTCAATAGTTGGGTCAACTGAAGTGGGATGGGGTTCGTATCACACACTTTTGGAATCACAATTTAAAACTCTATTCATCTGTGCAAAAATTTGATATGGCGTCCATAATAAAAAATAAGTCGATGCTAGAGGACAATATACAAAACGTCATACTGAAATTCGGATTATACCATCTTGTAGAGGAGAAAAAGTGGAATAGTTAATGCGCCATTTATTTTGAAATTACAGTGCAAATAAAGTCAGAAAACGATTAAAACGAATTTGGGAAAATTTGTTTTTTCCCGTCTCTCTCCGGTAGTACTTTGAATCTCTTTCTAAGCGACAATTCGTTAGCTACCTAAAGACGCCACTTTGCCTCCATCTAAATGACTTCTTACCTCTCACAGGCTCCGGGATCCCAGTGGTGAAATTGAAACAGTCGATATAAGTAAATAGAAAATAATGTAGAAGACAAAACTAAAATAAAAGTCAGAACCGTCATAACAAAAAGACTTCATCTTCTCTTAAATCGAATAAAATATCTCAACAAGAAATCACAACTCAGATTTTACAACTGAAATAAAATGTGCAAGAATGATTTCCCAATACATATTCATGAACGTGACTTCAGTAAGCAAAAACAAAATATCTGGAAAATCCATCTGAACGCGCCTGTAGACTCCAATTGCAAGATAGTAGTACAGTTAACGAAGGCTTGTGTCTGTACGGATATAATTATAAGAACCGAGTTTAGCACCAGGTAGTTATGCTTAATGACATTTTAAGCGCTTAAAATTCCATCAAAACATCCGTAGTTAATTGCTCTAAGTACCTGTAAATTTATGGCCGCTTTTCGGATTACCTGATCCACGCTACTGTATCCAGTGTTGCCGAACCGAAAAACACGAGATCTGTAGATAGTGTCGTTGAAATTCGGTAGATTTAATGACAAAATCGGTAGCAAGAAAAAATCAGGGCCTGCAAAATATCAGCGGCGCATCAAGGGTCAATACAGATCCACAAGTTAAAAAAAACAGTAAATGGCATTTTAAACAGGTACACATGTTTTCTATAAATATGGTAACGAATTAAAATGAAACCCCTTTAGCTGTACTGCTGTACGCTTAAAAACCAATGTAGATCAATATGACTTAGCGGTAGGCAACCCAAATCTGTACGTACCCCGTGTGACCGGTTGCCTAGGTGTACGCATATGTATTGCTATAGGGATAGGGCATAAAACACTGCATAGAAATTTTGTTTCAACTCTGCTTTTAGTTTCAGCTCTATCTCGGTAAAAAAAAACCATAAATATACTAAGTGACATATAAATCCGAACACCCAGTTTAAATGATTTTATTTTAATAAAATTTTGTATAAGTACTTAATGAAGCATAATAAGGAAATGATAAAAATTTCAAAATGATTGCACTTCTGTAAAGCCCTTTGACCTTTAATAATGTGTGGATGCACCCTGATGTGCTACGCATTCTCCAACGCACCTAGGCATGCTTCTGATCAGGTGGTCAATGTCCTCCTGTGGTATCTCATTCCAGGCAACCACCAACTCCTCTCGAAGTGCTTCTAGAGTCTGAGAAGGACGTTGCAAATTGAGCAATCTCCTACCCATCATATCCCACACGTGCTCAATTGGGGATAAGTCGGGAGATCTTGGTGGCCATGGTAACAATTTGACATCATTATGTTGAAAGAAGTCTATTGTGACTCTTGCAACATGTGGTCGGGCATTATCTTGTTGGAAAGTTGGATCTGCCAGGGTGTCAAGATAGGGTAATAACCATAACCATAAGCTATAGCACCCCAAACCATAACTCCAACAGTGTGATGAACATGCCTTTCAACAAAAAACTGTGGATTCCTCCTTTCACCACGTCGCCTTTTAACCCTGGCACGACCATCGTGCATGCCTAAACAAAATCGAGACTCGTCACTGGCCGGTATGAAAACAAGCCAAAACTTCTCATTCGTCGGTAAACACTTCGCATGCCAATAGGTCTTCCGTGTTCTGCAAACCTGGTAGTGGAGAAACGGTCCCTTAAGGCCAATAATCTTAGGCGGCGATCTTCACGGTCTGTTGTTCTACGGCGGCGTCCACTGCCCCTTGCTCTTTGCGTACGGCCTTCTCGAAGCCATGCCTGACAACACCTAACCACAGTGTCTACACTTCTTTGCACTCTAACTGCAATTGCCCGAAAAGAAAGTCCAGCTTCCCGAAGTCCCACTATACGGCCCCTATCAAACTCACTAAGTTGACGAAATCGTACAGGTCTACTTACTCTAGGCATCGTAATCGATCGTAAAGGATGTCAAGAACCAAAATCTGCCAACGTTGATTCTTTACTG